TAGTTGGAACTCTCTCCCCCAGATGGTGGACCAGGTATTCAGTGTGTTGCCACGGGCCTCTCTATCCCTCTTCCCTCCCTCCCTTCCCCTAGAAGTATCCAGCGTCTGCTGAATTCAGCCTTGTGCTCATGTGACCAGAGATCAGGACCTGTTCATGAATGAGAACATGAGGTATTCAGTTCTTTGTTTCTGTGACAGTACTCTTAGTATGACGGTCTCCAGACGCATCCATGTTGCTGTGAAAGCCATGATTTTCTTCTTTATGGCTGTTATCTTTACTTGTTTTTATTAATCTTTCTTAAATGTATATAGAGCTCACATTTATTTCAATGTTTAATATTAGAGGTGTTTGGGGTCTTCATTTAGAAGTTTGGTGATGTGGTGTGTGTGTGTGTGTGTGTGTGTGTGTGTGTGTGTGACCAGAGATAAGTCATGGAAACTTAACTCTTGTTCATATCAATTAGCCTATGGGAAAATTGGTTACATTCTAGGTCATTTCGTAGAAAGTCAGCTTCCAAGAACCTAGTACACTGGAATTTTTTTGGAGATTTGCAACAATTTGAAAAAATTTGCAGATGAACTGCATAGCCCAGAAGTATCAAAAAAAATTTTTTTAATTGGCTATGTCATAAATGCATTAAACATACAGGAGGTTACTATTTTATCATTTACTATCATAAAATATACAAAATGTATCAGAAAAAGTTAAAATGTGTGCATACACAGCACCATCCACAGTCAAGAAATGTAAATTAATATAAAAATGCAGTATTAAATCATAACCACATACAATTAACTGCAGTCCCACTGTACCACTGTAATAATTTCATAGCCACATCCTATTGCTACTCTCATGTGTCCAAGTATTGAGAGTATCTGCTTAAAGCACCATGTGATGCTCATCGACGCTGTGTGAGCAGTTCCTCTCTCTAATAAATTGAGTTCACAGTACAAAAAGTCTCTTGTGGTTCTCATGTATTTTTTCATCGTTTTTAGTGCAATACCATAAACCTTGAATAACACCATAGGACCCACATGAAGTGCCCTGAGTGACACTGGGAGTTGCTCCCAACAAGTAGAGAAAAGCCATGACATTACAAAGGAAAGTTGAATTGCTTCATATGAACTGTAGACTGAGGTATGCAGCTGCAGTTGCCTGCCATTGTAGACAGATGATTTCGTTTGGAAAAGGGGTTGCAAACTTAAGGTATTTTTTTTTTTGGAGTCTCACTTGTCACCCAGGCTGGAGTGCAGTGGCACCCTCACAGCCACCGCTAGGCTCAGGTGATCCTTGTGCTTCAGCCTTCCAAGTAGCTGGAACTACAGATGCCACCATGCCCGGCTAGTTTTTGTGACTTACTGTAGAGAAGAGGTCTCTACAAGTTGCCCAGGCTGGTCTCAAACCCCTGGGCTCAGGCAATCCTCTTACCTAGGCCTCCCAAAGTGCTGAGACTACAGGCTGACCCACTGCGCCTGGTCTATAGTATCCTTAAATACAGTACAGTACTGTAAATGTTTTCTCGTGATTTTCTTAACTTTTTTCTAGCTTATTTTAATGTAAAAATGCAGTCTATAATACATAGAGCATACAAAATATGTATTAAGCAGCTGTTTATGTTGTGAGCAAGGCTTCTGGTCAACAGTAGACTGTTAGTAGTTAAGCTTTTGGGGAGTCAAATGCGCATAGAGATGGTGCCCCTAACCCCCATGTTGGTCAAGAGTCGACTATGGCCGGGCTCAGTGGCTCAGTCTGTAATCCCACGCTTTGGGAGGCCCAGGTGAGTGAATTGCCTGAGCCCGCGGGTTCAAGACCCACCGGGCAACTTGGTGAGACCTCATCTCTACAATAAAATCAAAAATTAGTCGGGCATGGTAGTGCGCGCTTGTAGTTCCAGCTACTTGGAAGGCTGAGGCGGAAGGATCGCCGGAGCCCAGCAGGTCGAGGTTGCAGTGGCCAGGAGCTGCCGCTGCACTCCAGTCTGGGTGACAGAGTGAGACTCCAACTCAAAAAAAAACAAAAAAGAGTCAACTGTACTGAAAGGGACAAATGAACCCTGTGGAACTGGACTGAAATTACCAGTAAGAACTCATATATTCATGTTATATATGTATATATATATGTATATGTATGTATGTGTGTGTATATATGTATATGGGTTGGCCCAAAAAACAGGATTATCTTTTGGAGGGCAGGTACTTTGTAGTACAGGCTTCCCCCATTTAGTAATGTTCTAGAAACCCATCGGCGTCAGTGTATCAACTAGCATTGTTGTGAGAGGCTGCATTCGGCGTCTGTGAATTTTTTAAAGATTCTTTCAATGTACTTGCCCATTTCATGATGGGTGATTTACAAGTGCACCTGCCCACACCACACTGAGTGTTCAGCAGCTTTTGGCCAAAAACAGCATGTCCCCTGTGCCCCACCCTCCCTATTCATCCAGTCTCACCCCAAGTGACTTTTTTTTGTTTCCCCTGATGAAAAAAATCCTCAAAGGGAAATGTTTTGCTGATGTGGAAGAGATTAAACAATAAAAATAGCAGGTACTTCTTAACCAAATAATTAAAGTCAACACTGGACAGTAATGGAACCAAGTGACAGGATATTCTTCCAGATATGCTACTCCGGGAAGAACTCAGCATTACTTGTGTGACATTCCTGCCCAAATGACATAACATGAATCTAATCTTGAGGAAACATCATACAACCCCAAACTGAGAGAAAAATCTATTAAAACAAAATAACTGAACTACATGCTTCAAAAACATAAATGCTACAAAAATCAAAGACTCAGAACTATCCCAGATTAAGAGAGACAAAAGAAACAGAACAACTGGACACAACATGTTAAGGATTGTGAAAATCTTCCATCTTGGATTTTCTTTGGCTATAAAGGATATTACAGAGACAACTGGCAAAATCTGAAAAGGGTCTGTACATTAGATATTAATATTGACCAAGTTTAATATCCTGATCTTGATAATTATACTACAATTATATAAAAATGTTTAAGAAATGCGTTTTTTTAAAAATGCACATTATTTTAAAATAAAGAGGCATCATATCTGCAACTTACAGATAGTACAGGAAAAAAATCTATTTAAGATACCTATATTTATCTAGAAAAAGAGGAGGAGAAAGGAGAGAAAGGATAAAGAAAATGCAGCAAAATTTAACATTTGGGGAATGGTATGCAAAAATTCTTTGTACTTCTCTTATACTTTTTCTCTAGGTCTGAAATAGTCAAAACAGAACACCTCTAAAAGGAAAATAAATCTTTAATGATATAAACAAATTATAATTTATTAAATAAAATAAACCATGAATCTACCTTGATATAAGTAAATGAATAGAGTGAAAGTTACTGAACAGATAACTCAAATTAACTCCCCACAAAATATTAATTACAGAGTAACATTACAGAGGAGAAATGCAGCAGACACTGCTGTTAGTGATCAATGTTGACTTCACACACAAAAACTGTAAGTCACATGACAGGATGCAATGAGAAGATCACAGGATCACTTCTGCTATACTTGTGCCAAAAATGTATGATCTAAATCTAATCACAATGAAATATCCGAAAATCCAATTAAGGGACATGACATTACTAGACTTTTCAAAAGATTCAAGGTCAGGCCGGGCTCAGTGGCTCACTCAGCCTGTAATCCCAGCGCTTTGGGAGGCTGAGGCGAGTGACTTGCCTGAGCCCATGGGCTAGAGACCAGCACGGGCAACTTGAGATCTCATCTCTACGATAAATAAAAAATTAACCAGGTGTGGCAGCGTGCGTCTATAGTTCTGGCTACTTGGAAGGCTGAGGCAGAAGGATCATGGGAACCCAGCAGGTTGACACTGGGGTGGCTGTGAGTGTGCTACTGCACTCCAGCCTGCACTCAAAAAAAAAAAAAAAGATTCAAGGTCAAGAATGAAGGTCAAGCAAAGACAGAAGAACTTTCCAGAACAACTAAATGCAATCCATGGATCTGAAGGGGATCCTTTTGCTATAAAGGACGTTACAGACAAGTAATAAAACTTGAAAAGATTCTGAGAACTAAGTAACAGAATGTATTAATGGTAACTTTCTCATTATGAAGTTTGCATTGTAGTTATGTAGAATGACATGACTTGAAGGAATACCCACTAGAGTAATCAGCAGTGATGGCAAAATTTCAGCAATTACTGTCAAATGGTTTGGCAGGGGAAAGTCTTTATACTAAAACTTGGAATTTTTCTCTAATTTTAAGACTATTTCCAAAAAGTTAATTGAAAATAACTAAGTAAAAAATAAGGTAGCCGGGCTCTGTGGCTCAGCCTGTAATCCTGTACCTTTGGGAGGCTGAGGTGAGTGGATTGCCTGAGTCCGTGGGTTCAAGATCTGCCTGGGCAGCGAGACCTCGTCTCTACAAGAAATCAAAAAATCAGCCGGGCGTGGTAGCGCATGCCTGTAATTCCGGCTACTTGGAAGGCTGAGGCGGAAGGATCGCCGGATCCCAGCAGGTGAGGCTGCGGTGGCTGGGAGCGGCCACTGCACTCCAGTCTGGGCTACCGAGAGAGACTCCAACTCAAAAAAAAAAAAAAGCAGAAAAGGTGAAAAGGCTTAGGCAAATCTTATTTCTTCATGAGAAAAGATCACTGCTTAAAAGTAAAATCATGTGAGTTTGATGGCATTATAACTATTGTAATACATTCAAGCATTGACAATTACCATAGCACCAATAAATCAAAATGTTGTCTAAATCTAAATCACTATACATGGTGGTAAAAATTATAAAATAAAAATATGCCATCAATCAGTTCTACTAAAAGATTAATGACAACTTAGTTGTTTGGCTGTTTTAACAGCTGACACTTGGGCAATTTGAGTATGTAAAACTCAATAATACTGGTTTTCATTTGCAAAATCCACTTAAAAGTTAATTAAAGAGGTCATGAAACATTGTTTAAATACCATATAAAATTTCATTAGGCATATAAGATACAAAAATATTTTCCTTTAATATTTTCACGTCATATATTTAATGGAAAACAACTAAAATATCATGTAAACAGCTAGCAATAAAAGATTATCTTTCAGATCATATAATTTTTCTTTAAAATCTGTACGTATTCTCGTGATGCTTTCCAAACTAGATCTTGATTTATATTTGACTCATCAGTAGATCCTAGAGGAGAAGCTGTATAGGATGCAGATTCCAATTCAGCAGCAGCTAGAAAGAAAAAGAAAGAATTATATTCTTTACCTAAATGATTTCTAAGTGGAAGTCATTTAAAAAGAGTTAAGAGTCAATGTAGACCAGGCGCAGTGGCTCAAACCTATAATCCCAGCACTTTGGGAGGCCAAAGTGAGAGGATTACCTGAGCCCACAGGTTCAAGACCAGCCTGGGCAACTTAGCAAGACCTCATTTCTACAATAAATCAAGAAAAATTAGCTAAGAGTGAAGGTGCATGCCTGTAGTTCCAGCTACTTGGAAGGCAGAGGCGGGTTGAGGATGAGGTGGCCATGAGCATGCCACTGCACTCCAGCCTGGGCAACAGAGTGAGACTCCAATCAAAAAAAAAAGAGTTAAGAGTCAATGTTAATGAGAATAAAAAATATGTATGCTATATAAAACTATAATACAAAATTACTATTAAATATAATTTGTCCATAGTTGCACATTGAGTCATCACTGTGGTTTTTCATTCTTCACTCATGTATTCAACCACCATGTGCTAAGGTACTAAAACAAACACTGGAATTACAAGATGAAGATGATACAGTCCACCCCTCAACAATCATATACTGTAACCTGAAAAAACAGACAAATGGGCCATGTCCATCAGAGTCACAGATACATAAAACAGGGCACTATTGGAACACACAGAAGGGCCATCTATCCCAGTTCTGGGTCAATATTTTAGGCTTTTTGGTGAAGGAGATATGTGGGTAGACACCTGAAAGACAAGGAAAAGGTGTGGCAAAGAGAGGGAAGAAGCAAGTGCAAAGAGCTGGAGGTGACGAGAAACACTATGGGATTCTCCGGAGGCTAGTTTGGCAGACTACAGTAAGTGGCAAGAGATAAGGCTGAATAACTTGACATGAAGCAAATTGATTTGAGTGTTTTTATTCCATGCTGAGGAATCTGGAACTTTTCCTGAGACAAAAGTAAACCAATGACAAAGGAAATGACAGAAAGTTTAAAACGTCACCTGTCAAGTGACTGCTTATGAACTGTAATGCTTGACTAAGCATTATTAAATGAGCCTGGGGTATTTGGCCTTAAATCACTAAATCACAACATGAGAAGTTGATGATGCCTTTGTTTTCTGAAAACAGTTTCCACGTGATGGCTGACAGCTACAGGGATGGCAGAAGCGAGCAAAGTATAGAGCCCAAGAAAAAGAGAGACAGAAATGTGAGATTTTTTTTTAAGCTATAAAACATTATGGATTAATGAGGCATTAGTATACTCTTCATTAAGAATGTTTGATTTCACCTTTCATTAAGTGTGTAAGAAAAATATTTAATGTAGTAGCTATTAACCAAACAATGGGAAGGGATGCCATTTATTATTTAGTTTATTTCAGAAATCTATTAATCTTAATTAAATTAATAAGTGGCAACATACCTTCTTCTAGTTCTCTAGTTATATTTTTTTCCAACTCCTGCTGCATCTGAAATAAGTCAAATATTATTTATAATGCTTAAATTAAACAAGAGACATTATCATAGGAATGACATATCACTTACAAAATGTGAACTTTAATACTTTTAGAGACTAGATCTAACTCGAGGATTGCTTTAGTAGAAAAAGAATTACATAAATAAAATAAAAATTCTACTTATTTTAAGTTTAGGTAATAGAAAATATATATGTATAATGCTGTTTAGATTAATTTGATAAAAAATACAATTAATATGGCCTATTGAATATACATCATTTCACACAAGCAATATTTTCTCTAACTAGAACAAAGGTTAAACAATTCAAGTCATATTTTGCAATGAATGTATTACTTTGTAATTGTTACAAAACACAGTCTTTTGTAAAACTTTAATCAGTTTTTTCACTTAATTTAATGAGCTTTTCCTTAAAATTAACTTTCCAGCCAGGTGTAGTGGCTCATACTTATTTTTTTTGTTTTTTTTTTTGAGTTGGAGTCTCACTCTGTCACCCAGACTGGAGTGCAGTGACTGCTCGCAGTCACTGCAGCCTCGACCTGCTGCGTTCCGCCGATCCTTCTGCCTCAGCCTTCCAAATAGCTGGAACTACAGGCGCGCGCTACCACGTCCGGCTAATTTTTTGATTTATTGTAGAGATAAGGTCTCGCCAAGTTGCCCAGGTGGGTCTCAAACCCGCAGACTCAGGCAATCCACTCACCTCAGTCTCCCAAAGCGCGGGATTACAGGCTGAGCCACCGAGCCTGGCTGTGGCTCATATTTGTAATCTCAGTACTTTGGGAGGCCAAGATGAGAGGACGGCTGAGGGGCAGGAGTTCAAGACCAGCCTGGTCAACATAGCGAGACCTTATTTCAAAAAAAAGTTTAAAAAAAATTTCCATTCTCCACTTTTAAAATTTTAAAGAATGTTCTATGCTATTAATTGTTCAGCACAGAACCTTAAGTATTTACATGTAGAAACTGGTACTGCCATAATGGCAAGTGAAAATTCTCCTGGCAAAGATTAAGTAAAAATATTATGCTATCTGTATTATGAATAGCATTTCCTTATTCACATGGACACAAAGATTTCAGAAAATTTGCTTGAAAAGAAAGTTATCCTTTTATTTATATATAAGTTAGAGCCAGTTTTCAAATGGAGTTTGATTCTTGACTTTTTAGAATTAGAAACAAGGAAGACAATATATAGTTCTTTAGCTATAACTTGGATTTATTTTCAGAAATTAGTACCTATATTTTAAAACATCTGACTAATTATATTGTAGTTATCTACTTAATTATGAAATATGTGGGATAGTTCAAGCTATATTGCAAATGTTTCCATCTGGAAAGCTGTTTTTTAAATCTTTCATAACAAAGGTATTCTCTCACTAAACATCCAGAACAGGGTCTGAAACAATATATACTATAATAGTAAGCATAATAAATGCTTTGTGGTGATAATCATAATATGATACCCAATGCCTTTACAATGTGAAAACAAAATGTTTTAGCTAACAGGTTTCCCATTTTGAGACACTATTTTCTAAAACATTTATGTGATAATAATACCATAAGCCTTATAAAATATATAAAAGGACAATGACATTACTAGATAGGTCTTATAAAAGTAATGACTGAATACCAGATAAAAGGAGACTTTTATTGAAAGAATCTTTTATTGCCATTAATAAACACTATGTAAAATGTACATAGTGGCATAAAGAAATGAACAAATGGCATAAAGAAACTGCTAACATAATGTTGTTCCTCAAAAACTCTTCTCCTAAATATTTATTTCCTATGTGTAACAGATTTACTTCTTTTTCTTTGGAGTCAGTCTCACTCTGTTGTCCAGGCTGGAGTGCAGTGGCATGCTCACAGCCACTACAGCCTTGACCTTCTGGGCTCAGGTGATCCTTCCGCCTCAGCCTTTCAAGTAGTTGGAACTATAGGTATGTGACAACATGCCTGGCTAATGTTTTGATTTTTATTGTAGAGGCGAGGTCTTGTCATGTTGTCCAGACTGGACACGAATGCTTGGGCTCAGGCAATCCTCTCACCTCTGCCTCCCAAATTGCTGGGATTGCAGGCTTATGTAAGCTACTGCGCTGGGTCCAAATTTATTTCCTTATACCCCATTCACAAATACTTTCATATTTTACTTAGATAAAAATGAAACACTCTTCTTGACAGTTGCTTACTTTTATGCTTGAAGAAATCTTAACTCTCTAGAAAGAGAACATTTTTGGCCTAACACATTTAAGTAGTGGTCCTCTTCCTCTCCTAAATCTTAAAGAGGACTTGACAGACTCTGACTCTCCCCCTGCAGAAATTCTCTACCAGCCTTTCACTGGTCCTGGAATGCTTGACCGCATAAATGACGCTGAGGGCCAGTGTCTCCGAGAAGAGTTACCAGGTCAGATACAAAACCTCAGGGGACAGATCCAGAATACAGGAGGGAGCTGCTCTGCAAGGGAGACCCTAAAGCTTAGGGAAAGGAGATTGAGTGTTAAAGGTTCCAGTTTTGTTCTGGCTGGGGGGGGGGGGGAGGCTGGGGTGGTTTTACCCATATTCACAAGTGAAAACTGGCAAGGATTCCATGACTTTTAAAAGTCACCTTCATTTTGTTCTTACTTCCCCATAAAATCACACATTTTCTTCGTATTTCCCTTGATAGAAACTCAGAATTGTTGTCCCCAGTTGAATGACTTAATACAGTGCCCGGGACAGATTATAGAAGGAAAAAGGGAGAAAAATGTCTTAATGACATGAATCATTGTCCTATTCAGCTCAGGCAAGGGTGACATCAAAGTATGTAGAGCAATAGCTTAGGAGAAACTGAACTTTGCCAGAGGAAATAAAAAAGTTTCATAAATTGCTAATCTTCATTTTATGCCTAATACTAAATCAAGAGCTATATTAGCTCCTTATGGGGTAAAATATATAAACTTTTTAATAAAAATGTTCCTCCTTTCTCCATGGCCTTGCTGCTGATTTCCAGGAGGAGATTAGGTTTCAGATGGTGGAGGTAGCTTGAAGTCCAACATCAGTAAGAGAGTACATCTGCAACTTCATTTATACTTTTTCATTTTTTTTTTTTTTTAATAATTAATCAGTATTTTTATTATAGTTTTGTGGGGTACAGTTAAGGGTTAGGTGTACAATTACGTTTCATTCAGACACCCTGTTGATAAGAGGTGTTTTCCCAGCCCCAGACAGATATTTGCTACTGTTAATCCCCTCCCCCTCCCCCCCATAGTTTCCCAGTACCGTCAGTCATTTTGTTATAGTATTACATTGGATGTTCAAGGTCCATTATATGAGTGAGAGCATGTGATATTCTGATCTTTGTTTCTGTGTGAGGTCACTCAGTATTATAGACTCTAGTTCCATCCAGGTTGCTGCAAAATTCATGATTTTGTTCTTTTTTATGGCTGCGTAGTATTCCATCGTGTATATGTACCACATTTTTTTAATCCAGTCCTCTTTTGATGGGCAGCATGGTTGTTTCCAGGTTCTTGCTATTGTGAACAATGCTGCGATAAACATACGTGTGCAGGTATCTTTTTTATAGAGTGATTTGTGTTCTTCAGGGTATATTCCCAGTAGGGGGATTGCAGGGTCATATGGAAGGTCAATTTTTAGAGCTTTTAGGAATCGCCACACTGCTTTCCACAGAGGTTGCACTAGTTTACACTCCTACCAGCAGTGTAGAAGTGTTCCCTTTTCACCACACCCTCTCCAGCAGCTGTTATTTTTTGAGTTGTTGATAATTGCCATTCTGACTGGAGTTAGGTGGTATCTCAGTGTGGTTTTGATTTGCATCTCCCTGATGATTAGTGAGGTTGAGCATTTCTTCATGTGTTTGTTGGCTTCTCGAATGTCTTCTTTTGTGAAGTACTTTTTCATTTTTAAATATATGAAGGTGAGAAATTCAGACCTAAGAGAACACTGCTCCAGCAAGTTTTAGCTAATTAGAATGATTCTCTCAAAGCTGGTAGTTTTCAAACTACATCCCACAGAAATCTAAGGTTTCACAGAGGACATTGCAGGACAAAGGGATAAGGAAGTCACCGCTTCAGAGCCTACAGCCCTCCTTTGTCAGAAAGTACCACTTCTCTAAGTTTTATATAATATGGTTTCATGCCATTTTTTTTTTCAAAGAAAGAAAAGTTCTATTCTTTGAAAAACAATTGTTTTAAGTACGAAAGTCACTTTATAAGAATAGTGCTTTTTAATCTCTTTTATGAAGTTTAACATAATTTGGCAAACCAATTTGGCAACCACAAGGAAGTTACATATACCTTGGAACTAATAAATGAAGTTTAAAATAAACTACTTTTCAGCTTATCACGAAATGCTAAAACTCAAAACCTCTTTTCCTCCAAAAAATTAACGGAGGGAAAATATTTCCTAAAATATTGTCCTTTGCATTGCATCTGTGTTTTCACACACTTCCTTCATCATCTTGTAAAATTAACATTACTTGATTTTTCTGGTAAGAACTAATGAGATCATTTTACATTTGCATCACACTTAACAATTTACAGAAGTATTTAACATTAATTTCCTTTTTGTACTCAGTAGGATAATTTTACAACTTTACAGCACTTAGACCCTAATTCACCTCATTTTTTTCAAAAAAAATAAAACTAAACTAAACCAAAAAAAGGATGAAAAAATTATCAGCTAACTAGGATCTTGTCATTTATACATTAAAACAATCATTTAATTTTTTCCCTCTTAGGTTATTTGGCTGCAATGCTAAGTAAGAAACTTTAGATTTGCCCTTCAAAGGTTTGTTAGAACATGAAATCAGGTAAAAAAAACCAAACAAACAAAAACAAAACAAAGATGAGGCCTCATCTAACATGGGACTACACTCCTTTTCTCTGCATTAAGGAGATTGTGAAAACGTCATCAACCTATAAGCTAATGTGCACTGATTGAAATGGATATTTTAATAACAATAATACACAATGAAAACTAGTTGCTATTTATTTATTTACTTATGTCCAAACAAATGCTTTATGGTTTCTGTAATTTGTTTTCAAGGGACAGGGTCTCATTATGTTGCCCAGGCTGGAGTGCAGTGGCTATTCATAGGCACGATCATCACACAGTACAGCCTCAAAATCCTGCGCTCAAGCTATCTTCCTGCCTCAGTCTCGCAAGTAGCTGGGACTATAGGTGTGCACCATCTCACCTGGCTTTTGTATTTTCCCTTTAGTGCAAAAATGGTCAAAAGTAAGACAAATATCTAAAGCTGGGTCATACACAGTTGAATTATGTTTTTCCTTATCAACTCTACAATGGTACAGCTTGCCATTGCTGGACTCCTTGTGAGTTCCCCAGGCATGGATTCTTGCTATAAGTGAAATCACATGATAAACTGGAAGGTCTTACTACATTTCCAGGGGAGACTGAAACCATGTGCAGCTTTACATGGAATTCTAGATAGGAAAAATTTAATTGATTTTGTGTGGTTGTAGTTGCTATTTAAAGATTCTTGATATTATTGCCATCTTAGTCATCAATCATTCAAGTGATGGCAAGAGAGATATAAGTAAACTTTATTTTAAAAATTCAAATATTTGCTGGATTTAACTACTTAAAAACTACTATACAGTTGCCCAGAAATAAACACATTTTACAAAAATTGAAATTAAAATGCTGTAAGTACAGTAGCAATTAAAGATACACTCGCATGTAAGAAAATCACAAAACTTTGATCTTAAAACAGAAATCAACCTTTTTAGCGTTATAGGTTTATTTAATTCATAAAAAGTTGGAGCTTTTTCTTAGTCAGGGTCTACTTTGTTCCTAGGCTGGAGTGCACGATTACACCTCACTGCAGCCTCAACCTCCTGGGATCAGGCGATCCTTTCACCTCAGCCTGCTTAGCAACTGGGACAGGTACACACTACCATGCCCGGCTGTTTTTGACTTTTTGTAGAGACAAGGTACAGTTATGCTGTACAGGCTAGACTCAAACTCCTAGACTCAGGCAATCCTCTTACCTTGGCCTCCCAAAATGCCAATATTACAGACATGAGCCACTGCACCTAGCCTTATTTTGGATTTCTCTAAGTAATAAACATCCGTATGTGGATAAGTGTTATATGTCAATCACTCACTTATGACTAGGAGTGGAAAACCTGAGACGGTGCCAGGAAACTTTAAAAGTGTTATGAACCACAATCAAACTAAAATCAATTCTAAAATAAGCCAGAGCATCTCCAAGTATACCTTTAGTTATTAGGCAATAACATTCCATTTCTAAAATCTAATTTAAATGCAGTTTTTAAAGAAATTTAAAATGTGTCAGTTTAGTTACACTTATTGAAGAGGGTTAACAAATGGGTATCTCAAAAATGGGAGCTCTAGGGACTTATTATAAAACTGTAAAACTTATATTTCCTCTCTTTATTAACACAGATAATTATGATGTTTATTAAGCATGCATAAGTAAATTAAACAACGCAGTATTTCATCAAATTAAAAACAAGAATTATGTCAGAAATCTGAACCCCACAGGAAAAAATAATATAACTAACCTTGGTTAAGTAGTTCTCCATGCTGTTATTTAAAGTCCGTGGGCTTGAGGTAGGGATCATTAAGTTTTCGCTTGGAATACATTTTCTGTTGAGATCCAAACTATTACTAAGATTTCCAACACAAGGTGCCTCTAGGACTGGCCTGGTAGTAAGAGTAGTGAATAAAGATCTGGTCTGCTGTTTCTCCACAAGAAGCTTGGTACTGACCTCTACTAGCTTCTCATTAGTTCTGTAAAGGTTGCAAAAGATAAATGCTTAGTGTTTCATTTTTCACTAAATAATTTCTAAATGACTTGCATTTTTTAAAAGGTTGCCATAAGAGTAAATGGAATTTCCTATTAAATGGTGTTTTAACACCAAAAATGTGTTAGAACATGGCTACTGTATGCAACTGTGTAGTTTTTAAATTGTTCTTTAAAAGTACATATATTTCTAAGGTGATTTCTAACAAATAAGTAATTCAAAGTAGGGAGGGGAGATAGATAGTTATCAATGATGTATGGCATAACAGGTAACATTGGTTGCCTTCTGGAATGATTCTACTTATAAGATTCTTGAGGATGCCATTAGACACGTTTGTATTTAACGGGTAAATATGTGATATGGTGACTATGTCAATTTGCTTGACTATAAGAACTATCCATTTTACTATGTATAAATACCTCAAAACATTAGGTTGTACTCCTTAAATATATACAATAAAAACGTTAAAATTGAGAAAGAAAAAAGCCACTGGAAATACTTCTATTTATTAAACCAATTTAGAGATTTAAAAAACTATCCCTCAAAGACATTTTCAAGCATTGCTTTCAATACCCTTGCATATTTCACCCATCATCTGGGAAAAATTACGCATCTGGCACTGAGCAGCAACAACTAAAAAAAAAAAAAAAGGGGTTGGTGAGTTGGTGACCAAAAAGTACTAAGGCAGCTCAAAGGTAATTCACTCTGAACATTGTGACCAAGGCTTGCGGGGTGGAACCTGTCCTTTCTGTCTTCCACACAACCCCTCAGGCTGACCAAGGGATTTTTTTTTTTAACCAATTTGTAAAATATACTTCCCTTCAATCTAGTTAATTATTATTTCAGAGTATGCCTTTATGGAAAAACAATAAAGGATATTTTGTCTCAAGGCGCCCTCTAGTGATAATATCAAAGCTCAAAATCAAGGAAAGTTAACTTAGCAAGTGCCAGAATGTGCAAAGAGCAGTAGTAGTACCTGAGCCTTTCAATCTAAATTGTAAACTTCCAAAGATAGTTAAGCTTATTAATGTTTCTATTTAGGGGAATGCTAACTGTATAATAATATTCATTTCTAATATGTAAAACTTAAAAAATACTTAGCTGAAAGACTGATATGTTAACTATATGAGAATATTAAGGAGGAAAGAGCCATATAAAACAAAAAACAGGGAAGACATAAATTGTTCTCAACTAACATTTTAAAGGTAAGTTCAAATACTAACATCATTTTCCAAAATTATAATATCTAATAAGCTTTTACTTCCCACTAAATTCTTGACTTACTTGTTTAGTTTACTTGACAAGAATTTTCTAACTTTTAATTCTTCTAGATAGAGTTGCTTATATTTTTCCAATTCAGTTTTATTAATGTCTTCTTGGGAAGTTTTCATTTTGGAGACTTCAGACTCCAGATCTTTAATTCTGAGCTCCATCTGACTTCTTATTGAAGCAATATTACTCTCTCTTAAGTGCTCTAGGTTTTCTTGTGATGCTGCTTGTGTCTAAAACAAAATACAAGGGTACATTTTAAAAATATTTATAACCTGAATAATTGTTGTATATTTGTTTCCTTTAGTTTTGAGTCATTGATTCAGAAAGCAATTTAAAATATGTAAAAAAAAGCTGAAGTTTAAAATATTTATCATCAATATCAACCAAATTGATGATTAATTCAGAATTAAATCTGAATTATTAAAAATTCAAATCATTCTTATGTTAGTATTTATGTAATATGAAAACTCAAAGAATAACAAAATTCATCCAATATTTTAAAAATGGAAAAATGCCACTTAAAAACAATTCGAGAGTATAGTACAATTTCTAAATCACCATTTTTTCTTTTCCTAATAGTCTTCTTTTATGCCAACTGGTCTTAATAAGTAATTCTCTAGTGAGAATCATTATTCTGAAAGACCAATTTAGATATAATAATGATGGAAACTGAAATATTTAAAGGGAGAAACAGATGCCACCATCCTTCTAGAAATCTATGAAATAAATTGCTATAAGGGAAGTAGAGGAAATACATAAAATATACATATCTAAAATACAACCTGCAGTGAAATGAATGATTGAACATTACAGATAAACTAACCTGTAAAAACAGATTGACTTCTTTTAATTTATCTACTATATCCTGTCTTGCTCTTTCTTCAATCTCCTGTTTATACTGTTCTACTTGACCACGTTCTACCATATTCATTTCCATATGACTTTTAAGGTTCACTAATTCTTGTTCCAACTTCTTTTTATTCTTCTGTAATTTTTCACATTTTTTTTGTATTGCTCTCATAGATGATAACTCCTGTTGAAGAACTTGATTCCTTGTATCCAGACGTAGACATTCTGAGGAGGCAGTTTCCAGCTCTGCTGTAAGAGCATCAATCTGAATAAATAAAATGATATAATTTGGTAATGAAGAAAGTAGGTTGCGATTATTCTGATAACAACTTTTGGAATAAATTCAGTTGCAATAAAATGTTATATATATATTATAATTTTTCAAATGCAGACCCTTAAATTATTCAGAAAATCAAAAACAAAATTATAGCCATCAGGAGTCACTAAAATACATTACACTTGATCTTAAGGCTTGTATTTCTATTTTTCTTTTGTGGAAACTGGGTCTCACTACGTTGTCCAAACTGGTCTCAAACTCCTGGCCTCAAGTAATTCTCCCACCTTGGCCACCCAAAGCACTGAGATTACAGGTGTGAACCACCATACCCAGTCTAGAGTTGTATTTTTCTATGATTGTTTCATGTTTTTCTTCCTTAAAATGATTCTAAGTCACCTCTTAGTAGAAAGTCTCTGACTCCTTCCCCCATCATCATTCCCTATAATTTCCAAAGAAGTTTTAGGGATACCATATTTGAGTTATTTTGGCCTTAGTCAATAAATAAATGGCTCCAGGAATAAGACTTTGAAAATAAGACTCTAAGGCCAGGTGTGGTGGCTCATGCCTGTAATCCCAGCACTTTGGGAGGCCAAGGCAGGAGGACTGCTTCAGCCAAGGAGTTCAAGGCCAGCCTGGCCAATATAGCAAGACCTCATCTCGACAAAAATTAAAAAATTAGCCAGATGTGGTGGCACATGTCTATAGACCCAGCTACTCAGGAGGCTAAGACAGAAGTATTGCCTGAGGCCAGAAGGTCAAGGCCACAGTGAGCCATTCAGATCATGCCACCGCACTCCAGTCTGGGCAAAGGAGTGAAACCCCTGACTCAAAAAAAAGGGGGGGATAATTAATGAATCCTGTAAATATAGATTCTAATGCCATAAGTCTTTTTCTGAACTGCAAATGTTTTATGCTAATTTGAATTGCATTCCAAGGATTAATAATTCTTGGGGTTAAGGCCACAAAATGGAGAGCCCAGAAATAAATCCACGTATTTACAGCCAACTGATTTTCGACAAAGTTGCCAAGAATTGAGGAAAGCATAACCTCTTCAATAAATGGTTCTGGGAAAATCAGAAATCCCTATGCAGAAGAATGAAACTAGACCCCTATCTAATACCACATGCTAAAATTAACTCAAAATGGATTAAAGACTTAAATGTAAGACCCAAAAAATATAAAACAACTAGAAGAAAACATAGGAAAAATGCTTCAAAACATTGGGCTAGGCAAAGATTTTATGAAGAAGACTTCAAAAGCACAGGAAAAAAACAAAAATAGATAATACAAAAGGACTGTATTGAGTTAAAAGACTTGCTCCTTCTGCACAGCAAAAGAGACAATCCTCAGAATGAAAAGACTACCTGTAGAATGGGAGAAAATATTTGCAACCTGTTCATCAGAAAAGGGACTAATATCCAGAATATGCAAGGAACTCAAACAATTCAGCAGCATAAAAATGAATAACCTGATTCAAAATTAGGCAGAGGATCTGAATAGACATTTATTAAAAGAATTCACACAAATAGCCAATAAATATATGAAAAAAATGCTCAACATCACTAATTGCTAGGGAAATGCAAACCAAAACCACAAGGTGATATCCTCTTACTCCAGTTAGAATGGCTACTATCAAAAAGAAAAAAATAAATGCTGGTAAGGATGACAAGAACAGGGAACTCATATACTGTTAGTAGAAATGTGAAGTCGTACAGTCATTATGGAAAATAACGTAGAGTTTTCTCAAAAAACTAAAAATAGAACTGCCATATGATCCAACTATACCCCACCAGAAATTTATCCAGAAGAAAAAAAACAGTATATCAAAGGGATACCTGCAGTCCCATGTTTATTGTAGCACTAGTCACAATAGCTAAGATTCAGAATAAACTTAAATGCCCATCAACAAACAGATAAAGAAAATGTGGTATACATCACAGTGGACTACTATTCAGTCATAAAAAATAATGAAATCCTATTATTTGTGGCAACGTGGATGAGTTTGGAGGACATTATGTTAAGTACAGGCAGAGAAAGATAAATAATATGAACGTTTTCACTCATGTGAAAGCTAGAAAAAACTAAGCTCATGGAAGCAGAGCATAGAATCATATGTACAGAAGGGAAGGAGAGGTTGATTAACGAACACAAAATTACAGCTAGATGGGAGGAGTTAGTTCTGGTATTCTGTAGCACTGCATATCTTCAAAAAGCTAGAAGAGAGGATTTGAATGTTCACAATGCAAAGAAGCAATGTTTGAGGTGATGGATATGCCAATTAGCCTGGTTTGCTCATTAAACATTATATATACGTATTGAAATATCACTCTATATCCCATACATATGCACAGTTGTATGTGTCAACTAAAAATAAAAGGAAAACATATTCATCCCATAAAAAATAGACTATAGGCCAACTTAGTGACTGCTTCTAAGAAATACAATGTGGCAAAAGGCATATGACATGGCTTCCAACATTAGCTTAGAAAGGCTCTTTATCTCAAACAGCTTGCCCTTGAAACCCAGGCCCCATGTTGTGTGGAAGCTCAGGCCACAAACAGAACCTGGAGTTCCAATGTAGATGTTCAGACTGCCTGCCCCAACCAAAGTTCCAGACAATAGCCAGCATCAACACCCAGACTCGCAGGTGAAGAAACCTTCAATGATTCCAGTCCCCCAGGCTTCGAGCTGTCCCCAGGGATGCTGAGGGGAACAGAGACAAGCTGTCCTGGGCAAGTTTTTCCCAAACCACAGATTCATGAACTAAATAAATGTACTGTTTTAAGCCACTAAACTTGGGGTAATTTGTTGGGGAACAACAAACAGAAAAATAATGAATTTTTAAAAAGAAACAATAACAGTAAAAATCAGTCTCCTTTAAAGTAGAATCTAGTAAATATTGAGATTACTTTATTAATGGTAAACAATGCTAAGGAGAAACAGCAGAACTTGCAGAAAGACATAGGAGCTATTGAGGAGAAGGTTTTTCCAAAGTTCCCTTCAATTAAAAATTCATACAACCAGCAAATGTGCCTCTTTAGAATTTTCTCTCGAGTTAGGAAATAAGGAAGACTGGGAGGCAAGAAGGCATATGATTTGAAGTATAGTAGCTAAAAACAAGTAAAAATATTTGGTTTAGTAATATTAAAAATCAGATGTTTTACCCAATTTCAATTCACTAAAATTATAAAAGAGATAAGCAAGCAGCTGTATTTATTAATTAATCTAGTACCCAGTGTTCATTTTCCTTTTCTCAATGAGAAAATAAAAACGATATTACAAAATCTTTCATTTTTTTGAGTTGGGGTCTCACTCCCCCAGGTTGGAGTGTGGTGGCAGAATCATAGCTCACTGCAGCCTTGATCCTTCTACCTCAGCCTCCCGAGTAGCTGGGACTACAGGCATGCACCACCACACCCAGTTAACTTTTTGATTTTTTGTAGAAATGAAGTCTCACTATGTTGCCTAGGCAGCTCTCAAACTCCTGAGCTCAAGCTATCCTCCTTCCTCAGCCTCCCAAAGTGTTGGGATTACAGGCATGAGTCACTGCATCCAACCTATTAATCTTCTCAGTAGTAAAATAAATGTAGTATCCTTTGAATGTTAAGAAATTACATACAATTTCTCTCTTACTTTACTTCTAAGCTGTTTGTATAGAGACCATTTCATCTTTCTGTTGTACCAAAATGTTTCTCCATAACATACAAATCAGCTCTGAAATTTTGAAGCTCAAATGACTAATTTGACTATGATTTGTTATCTAGTAAACTGCCTGAACATTACCTGATTTTTAAGTGCTGTACTCCTGAAAATTTTTCTTGGAATGGGTTGAACTATTTATTCCATGAATCATGTACCAAGATATACAGTAGAGCTGTGCATCTCTATCTGTGTAAGTAAAAGGGGAACACTGTAGTTTCTGAGAATGCAGGACCTGTGCCAAGAAAAGGATTAGCCCTGGTGTTATACAAGAGAACCAGGTACCAGGTCAAAAGATCTAACTGTGAACTGAAAGATGATGGATTAGCTCGATTTCTAATTAGGAAAGCTGAGAGCCCCAACCTTATCCTCTCCTTTCCAGATGGTAAACATCCATGGAAGATTCTATGAATTATACTGAGTTAATAAAACATAATGCAGAAAATAAGCAGATCCTGTAGCCAAGATCTGATGAAAATGGAACTAAGAAAAAAAAAAAGAAAGAAAAGAAAATGGGACTAAGGAGGGAGGTACTGGGAAAGACCAAAGGTTTGAATGGAGGAAAAAACAGCAATGGCCTCTGTCTTTGTAAGCCTAACTTCTCATAATGTCATGGCGTCCACAAAGGCCTTCGGTGGCTACAAGAAGCAAAACATGAAGTTAAAGACATTCTACTATACTGACTTTTTATGATTATATAAGACAACCGGTAATATGCAACATATTTGAAAAAGAATTCTCATAAAATTTGATCTGATACTGATATAAGGCTAGACATAGATCAATATATTAGAATTGAGGATCCAAAAATAAAGCCACACATTTAGACTCAATTGATTTTTAACAAGGATAATAAAACAATTAAGTGGGAAAAGAATAGTCTCTTCAACAAATGGTATTAGGACAACTAGATATTCATATGTAAAAGAACGAAGTGTCCTCCTACCAAATACCATATATAAAAATTAACTCAAAAGAAAACTAAATGTAAGAGCTAAAAATATAAAATATAAAACTCTTAGAAGAAAATATAGGCATAAATCTTTGTGACTGCATTTGAAAGAGGTTTCTTAGATATAACACCAAAATAAAAAATAAATTGCCTGAATTTCATCAAAATTTAAAACTATATGTTTGAAAAGTGATTTTCAAACGAACTGAAAATGCAAACCACTGAATGGAAAACATCTTTGAAAAGCATTTATTTGATAAGGGACTTACTTCTCGGATACATAAAGAACCTTTAAAATTCAGAAATAAAAAGACAACTGAACTAAAAACTGGGCAAAATATTTGAAAAGACATTTCTCCAAAGAATATATACTAATAGCCAAGAAGCACATGAAAAGATGCTTAACATTATTAATCATTAGGGAAATGCTAATCAAAACCATAATGAGGTACTACTTCATACCACTAGATTGGAATCTATTTTCAATAAAAAAGATAGAAAATAACTGTTGCCAAGGATGTAGAGAAATGAGAATTCTCCCCTCATCACACCCACTTTGTGCTCCTCCTTGAGCATCGCATAGTTCAGGGAAGGGTAGTGTTGGCACAAGTGAAGGAGGTTTGGGAAGGGTGGTTCCTGAGACAAGGTCAACGGAGGGTCTGGAAACTGGGATATTGCTCAGTGGGTTTTGCACTTTTTTGATAAATATCTACCTGGGTCAATTTTTGTGTGTGACTCTTTTTAAAAATTTTAGCTGTGTATGTACTTCTACAAAAATACTATGAGTCTTAAATATTATTATACTAAGTTTTAATATCTGATTGGGCAAGTCCCTCCTTCATTGTAAAATAATTTTTTGCTATTTTTATCCATTTTTCTTTTCCAGATTAATTTTAGAGTCAGATGGCTAAAAAAATTATGTTGAAATACTTATTTTATTTTATTTTATTCTTGAGTTGGAGTCTCACTGTCGCCCAGACTGGAGTGCAGTGGCACACTTACGGCCACTGCAGCCTTGACCTGCTGGGCTCAGGAGATCCTTCTGCCTCAGCCTTCCAAGTAGCTGGTACCACAGATGCACGCCACCACACCCAGCTAATTTTTTGATTTATTGTAGAGATGAGGTCTCACCAAGTTTCCCACGTTGGTCTAAAACCCATGGGCTCAGGCAATCCTCTCGTCTCCGCTTCCCAAAGTGTTAGATTTACAGGCGTGACCCACCATGCCCGGCCACTCCTTTTCAATATTTATAGTTCTTGCTTCTTTCTTAACTTTCTGACTTTCACATTACTTACTTTTCATAACAGCGAGCAGTAGCAGCAAGAGTAAGAATACTTGTATTGGTCTTAAATGTAATGGAAATCCATTGAATGCTTCAGCATTGCTATTAGTAACTGTGGGACGGGGATTGACAAACTAAGGGCCATTTGGCTGGCAGCCTGTTATTGTACAGTCTGGAAGCTAAGAAGGGCTTTTACCTCTTGAAAGGGTCATATAGAGGCTGAGGTGAGTGGATTGACTGAGCCCACGGATTCGAGACCCGCCTGGGCAGCGAGACCTCATCTCTACAATAAATCAAAAAATCAGCCGGGCGTGGTAGCGCATGCTTGTAATTCCGGCTACTCAGAAGGCTGAGTTGGAAGGATTGCAGAAGCCCAGCAGGCGAGGCTGCGGTGGCTGGGAGCGGCCACTGCATTCCAGTCTGGGCGACCGAGTGAAATTCTAACTCAAAAAAAAAAAAGAAAGAAAGAAAGGGTCATAGAGAAACAGCAGCAATGAAGGAGGAGGAAGATGAAGAGGAGGAGGAGGAAAAGGAGGAGGGACTAGGGGTGAGGAAAGGAAGAAATATGTGCAGCAGAGAGAGTATGCAGTCTGGGCGACCAAGTGAAATTCTAACTCAAAAAAAAGAAAGAAAGAAAGAAAGGGTCATAGAGAAACAGCAGCAATGAGGGAGGAGAAAGATGAAGAGGAGGAGTAGGAAGAGGAGGAGGGACTAGGGGTGAGGAAAGGAAGAAATATGTGCAGCAGAGAGAGTATGTAACCTGCAAAACCTATGATATTTACTATTTGTCACTTTTAGGAAAAGTCTGACAACTCCGTTACAGATTTATCCTCTAACATGCTGGCATCTTTCATCAAATTAAAAAAATTAAACAATCCCTAATTTTCTCATTGTTTTTAAAGTCAAGAACGAGTGCTGAATTTTATCAAATGGAGTTGACACCACCTATTAAAATAATCATATGATTGTTCTCTTTTAATCTGTGAATGCAGTGAATTACATTCACAGATTTTCTAATGTTGAACCATTCTTTGTTTTCTGTAATAAATTTTATTTGATGACCAAAAAAAAGAAATGAGAATCCTCATATAATGCAGGTGGGAATGGAAAACCGTGCAGTCACTTTGGAACACAGACTGGTAGCTCCTCCAAAGGCTAACCATAGACAGCACTGTTAACAATAGCAAAGATATGGAATCAAACTAACTATCCATCAACAAATGATTGGATCAAGAAAATGTGGTGCGTGTGTAAATACACACACATACATAATGGAATACTATTCGGCCATTAAAAAGAATGAAATTCAACATGGATGAAACTGGAGGCTGCTATCTTTTTTTTTTTTAAGTTGGAGTCTCACTCTGTCACCCAGACTGGAGTGCAGTGGCCGCTCCCGGCCACCACAGCCTCAACCTGCTGGGGTCCAGTGATCCTTCCACCTCAGCCTTCTGAGTAGCTGGAACTACAGGTGCACGCTACCACACCCGGTTCATTTTTTATTTATTATAGAGATGAGGTCTTGTCAAGTTGCCCAGACAGGTCTCGAACCTGCGGGCTCAGGCAATCCACTCACCTCAGCCTCCCAAAGGTTCAGGATTACAGGCTGAGCCACCGAGCCCGGCTGGAGGCTGCTATCTTAAGTAAAACAACTCAGAAAGTCCAATAAGCATGGTCTTACTTATTAATAGGAGCTACATAATATGTGTACACATGGACCGTAAAATAACAGTCACTGGGGGCTCGAAGAATGAGAGGGGTGAGGGATGAGAAATTACTTAATGGGTACAATGTACACTATTCTGGTGACAATTACACTAAAAGCCCAGACTTTACCATTACACAAAAACTGCACATGTAACCCTTAAATTTACATAAATTTTTTTTAAAAAAGGTTAAGCATAGAGTTACATAAAACCTAGAAATTCCACTCATAAATATGCACCCAGAAGAAATGAAAACATATGCAAACACAAAAAATTGTACATGAAAGTTCATAGCAGCATTATTAAAAATAGCCAAAAAGAGGAAACAACTCAAAGGTCCAGCAATTGATGAGTGGATAAGTAAAATATCTGAAATATTCATATAATTAAATATTACTCAGCAATATGAAGACATTAAATACTGATACATGCTATAACACAGAAGGACCTTGAAAACATGCTAAGTGACAGAAACCTATCACAAAGACCACATAATGTTATTCAACTGACATGAAATATCCAGAACAGACAAATTTTTAGGAACAAAGTAAACTGGTTCCCTAGGGGTAAGCGAGGAAGAGGAAACTGGGTAACTGCTAAAGAACGTGGGGTTTCTTTTTAGGGTGATGAAAATGTTCTAAAATTTATTGTGGTGATGATTGCTAAAAGCCACTGGATTGCCTACTTTAAGTGATGAATTGAATGGTTTGTTAATTATATCTCAATAAAGCTGTTACCAAAAAAATTAATTTGGTACTAGAGGTCTGGGGTCATGTAGTAGTATACTGCTTGGTTTTAAACCATTGGTCAGGGGTTCAAGACATAAGAGAGTTGACAGTATACCTTTTTTATAGAAAAATGATATATTAAAAAGTTATCTTTTTATTAGTATCAATCCATAAAACTAAGAGAAAAATCTGTATTTCACTGCTCAGAGCATTGAGAGATCTATATTTCCCCAAAATTAAGTGATTTTTTTTTATGTCCCAAAATGGATTAAAAATTACCTTATGTTTTAGCTTATTAATCTGAATATCTGTTTCAAATTGACTGGTTTTTAAGTCTCCATGGAAACTAAACTCTTCATTTTCATATTCATTTAACTTCTTCTTTGTCATTTTTAAGAGGTTCTTAAATCTGTAGGAATGTATAGAATGAATAAGTTAAGTAAGTTAAGTATTTAATAATTGTTTAAACAAATATTGTGTTCTAGCATAAAAAGAAACAAATTTGCAAATTATGATCCTCTCCCATTTGTTTCAATCTAACATAATTTGAAAACATTCTAATGAAATTATAACTAGCCAGGTGTGGTGGCTCAAGCCTGTAAATCCCAACACTTTGGGAGGCTGAGGTAAGGATTGCCTGAGCCCAGGGGTTCGAGACCAGGTCGGGCAACTTGTGAGAACTCGTCTCTACAATATACCAAAAAATTAGCCGGGCACAGTAGCATGTGTCTGCAGTTCCAACTACTTGGAAGGCTGAGGTGAAAGAATCACCTGAGCCCAGCAGGTCAATGCTGGGGTGGCTGTGAGCATGCTACTGCGCTCCAGCCTGGGTGACAGAGTGAGACTTTGACTCAAAAAAAAAAAAAAAAAAAAAGTAAAGTATAACCATAAGTAAATAATATGAATAAAATTTTTATGACACATATGTAGATAGTTAATATTGTAATCATATACAGAGTTTGTATAAATAAGCTATTCATATCCATTAAGTATGCTAATATAAAACATTACCCTATTATTAAATATTAGCTATAACCTAGAGAATAGTATCCAAGGTGAATAAGAAAAGCATGTTTATATATGAATGTTTGAAAGATAAACAAAAATATATTTTGATACCCACTGTCCACAGTCTATAAGAAGAAAAAAAAGTACACACAAAAATTACCAAGGAGATCATTCAAAGTAGAAAAAGAGACAGGAAAGAAAACATCTTTGCAGTCGGAGTTAAGGGGGAAAAAGTAAGCAGACAGTTTCCCAAGAAAGGAAATGAGTAGAGATACCTTTAAAAACTTACAGGATGTTTTAAGAAAAAGAGAGATCTTTGCTAGTACAATGGTGACAGAATGCAAAACCATGTAGAGAAACATAATAAGAGAAAAATATTTATTAGCATCAGAGAAAAAACAAGAAATCAGCAAATAAGCAGAAAAGCAGCCATGTCAGGGACTTCTAGAACACTGGGAAGCATTCTATTCTTTTTATCTGGGTGGTAGAAACTTGAGCTCATTTTGCTCTTCTTTAAGACATACATATATTTTTTATATGTATGAGATATATATTTTAAAACAAACAGAAGTTTAATAACAAGTATATATGAAAGAAAATGAGTAAATTCCCCTGATTATTTTATAACTTAAAAAAAAGAGGCAGAAAGAAAATATACGCTAAATTATGATCATTTTTGGTGCTGTTAAAGAAAGACACAGATAGGTTTTCAGATATTAAAAGATCTGATTGCAGTCAGGCTCGGTGGCTCAGCCTATAATCCCGCGCTTTGGGAGGCTGAGATGAGTGGATTGCCTGAGCCCGCGGGTTTGAGACCCACCTGGGCAACTTGGCGAGAGCTCATCTCTACAATAAATCAACAAATTAGCCAGGCATGGTAGCACGTGCCTGTAGTTTCAGCTACTTGGAAGGCTGAGGCGGAAGGAATGCCCG